CAGCGGATGATCGAGAGAACACACAAACAACGGAGCTACCGCTGCCGCTGCTGGTGGTGTTGCCAAATACATTCCGTATCACGGGTGAGCTGACCTATACAGCTATCAGCGTTTCTGAAATAGACTTGAAAGGAACGAGTCTCATTGTGCGGCGTCCCTTGCAAGGGCTGGCTTTCATTTTCTTTTTTTCTTCGTTTACTTTATCATTTTTCTGTTCTTTTTACTCCTTGAGTAATTGCACCCCCCTTTGTTTTTGGAGTGCAATGTGTCGACAACCGCTCCCAACGCCGTTGCCCACCCCCTCCTCTGCGTCTCCTGGTCGTGCATGGGCAGCTAAGAACATCTGGAGCCTCGGTGAAAAGTGCAGATTAGCAACTGCACTCTTTGCCACTCTTTCTATCAGTGCGCTTGTGCATAAACTACCCCCCCCCCCNAAAAAAAAAAAAAAAAATATTGTGACCCTGCTGCGAAGCTCACCTCAGTGCCACAAAGGCTGATTTGGCCGTCAACCAAAGTCTTAAATGGGCCTTGAGGATTGCATTGGGACCTGAGAACCGGGAGGCCTCTCCAGTCTTAATTCTCATTTCCCCATTCAATCTTCAAGTTCCATCCAAGACTTTGGTTGACGGCCAAATCAGCCTTTCTGGCTCTGCGGTGAGTTTTTGTTTAAAACAAACATTTTCCCCCTTTTTTCCTTTCACCCTGGAGACCCCGCACTTGCCGCACTACGGTGTGAGATCTGTCGATGACGCGGCGGGCGGAAAAACGGCGAAACATGCTGTTACTCAACGAACGACAAACGGTGTGCTGTATGGCTGGAAGGGTTTGAACGCCTTGGACTACGGACGGCGCTTAGTGTTTTGGACTTGTGTTGGTGCTCATATTTATCTCTCGCTTGTTTTCTGTTCTTTTTTTTTTCTTCATTTTTCTACTGACCATTCATTACCTAGATTGTGCCAACGGAATACACAACACCCGGCGAAATCAGCTATATTATCTAGAAAGCGTTTAGCCTCCTTGCGTTATAGCTAAGCAGACACACAGTAACACATTCATACATTGAAAATACATCAGGAGCAAAGGTTTATCACTTGAAACACGATACCTCGGCTTCCTAAAGCAAAACAGCGACAAGTGGGTCCTGAGAAAACAAGAACAAAACATAGGGAACAAAAGAAATCATGGTGAGTGAATTAAATTCAAAATTGACAAGAGACATGATTCAGGGCTTCTGCTTCCAAGACATGTGTGATCCAATCTCTCATCCGTATGGCGGTGATGTGACATCCGTGCTAGCCAATAACAGTCCATTCGCAGACGCCACCGCCACACCAGCGGACAAGCAGCATGATGTGTGGGGAAGCAGCGTTTTTTATCTGCCCGAGTTGGGCGCTGACCTGCAGAACGAGCCACACCATGACAGCGCCGAAAAGGGCAACAGCAATGGAAATTCACAGGTTGTTCCCTCCCACACATGCGTCCCAGCGCAGGTGACGATCAGCGATGAGCGGACTACTAGCCTCGTAATTGAGTCCAAGGCAACGATCGCACCCACGCCGAGTGCGCAGTGCTTGTCGTTTGGTTCCACAGGGGCGCAGTCGACCGTCCCCTCTGCGAAAAATGGTGGCATGAATCCACCAATAGCGCGCTCTGTAGTATATCCTCCAAACACCAATCAGCTCAGCTTCTCCTCGCTCATGTGTGTCGGGACCACGACGATGTCGCCTAACAGCAACAACAATAATAACGGCATGACATACCAACAGGCGTCTCCGGTTACAACGGCAATACCAGGTAACCTCCCAGCCTTCTTCACGACGGCACAGGGTGGCAACAATGTCGTGATGCGCACACACACCCCATCACCGCAGACGCTGTACATCTCCCCTGGTGCCCCCACCATGATCCCCTACTACGTGCTCACCTCACCCCAGCCAGGCCTAGAGGTCAATGGGGCGATGGCGTATTCGTCCATGCCTGCCGCTCCGCAACCGATGGGGACAGTGATGTACGGGCAGTGGCATCCAACAGCTGGTGCTGCATTGGGGTCCGCTTCTGTTGCCGCGCCAACTCCTGCTGGCGTGCCCGTGGCTTCCTTAGGCATGCCGCCGGCATTCACAACGCGAGTCGTCACGTCCGCTCCACAGCCTGTTGCCAACTTCGCTTCAGCCGAAGCCAATCCAAACTCCGGAAGTGAACCCTCCCCAATTAATCCGTGCGGGGATAACTCCGCAGCCCACAAGGCTGCGCCAAAGGGCAGCCCGCCAAGCTACGATTCCCTCAGGCTTCAACTAACTAAACGTCGTCAGCCTCCGGGCCGGCAGCGCTCCGGCACTAACGTTCACGGAAGTCTGCAAGGTATTTGCGCGTACTACTCCTACAACCTTTCCGCGGCCTTGAAACAGTATGAACAGCCCGATGCCCATCCAACGAAACCAGGAGAACAGGTGCTACCTGTGTTCATTCAAATGTTTCCATGCGAACTGCGGGACCGCACTATTATCGTGCTGAATCGTGTTGTTGAGGCTACATGCGGTCCTGACGTCGCCACTGTTGTTGGGATTGAGCCACGCTCCGAGACATCCTTCATTACGCTCGTCCGCACCAATGAGGTATGGCTTTTGATTCACAAACTGCGGTGTCGTGTGCTGATGGACCGGCACGGCTTCTGGTACGCAGAGAACATGGAACAGTACCTGCGGCTAAAGGAGTACTGCGAGGGCGTGCGGCGGCTTCCGCAGCAGATGCGCCACTTCCAGACAGACGGACTACCGTGCATGCCGTTGGTTGTGGAGCTTTCACGGAGTGTGAACGCTGCGGCGGTGACATCTCCACCGGCCCCCCCATCCTTTGACGAAGTGGCACCCATCGCCACGGTGGAGCGCCACGCACGCACCGCGACAGCGACGGGCAGCAACGACGACGGTGACTCCTCGCCCCGCTGCGAGAGCGGCGTCGACAAGGGCGGCGTGAGCTGCGGTGCGCCGCAGCAGCAGCAATGAAGGGGGCCCTCGGCGCATGAACTGTACGATGACTGTAGAAGTGTGTGGAAAACGAATGGAGCTAACAGAAACTGGAAATGATATGAAGACCAAAAGCAGCCAACGTGTGGGTGGACGGCAGCAAACCGAAGAAAAAAAAATGAAAAACAAGAACGGAAAAAGCGGAAGGAGGAAAAAAGAATAAACCGACCAGAACGACGAAGAAAGACCATAAGTAACGAGGAAACAGAACAATGAGAACG